CCATCCATGTATTATATCCTTGTAATAGTAAGCACGACATCGAATATGATATTCAATATCATCTCTCTTTTCTATTTTATAGCTGTTTATACTATTTATCCGCGTATTAAATATCATTTCAATCATCGGTTTATAACATCGTATATTTGTAATCAATAATACAATATAACATAATAAAAATCATTAATACATAATTATTCAATTGAAAAAGCTTTTGAACGTATATTCAATATTATTTTATACTTTCCATGCAACGAAATTTTTATGGAAAGTTCCTTGTATATATGGGGGGGAAAAAATAATAAAAATTAATGGATATATTGATTAAATACATAAAATTCTTATAAAAAAATAATGAAGCCACGATCAACATGATAGGATTTTCCATTAAATTATTATATTTTTAAATCCTCCGAATGAAAATACTTTAATAATAAAATAATTCAATTAAAAATATAACAAGCTACTATATTGAATAAAATAATATATATATATATATAAAAATCTTTCTCTACAAAAATAATTCTTCCACGAAAGAAAAAAAATTATTGCACATATCTAAAATAAATGCGAAGTGATCTCGAACTTACAAACTCCTCATATAATAATATGTACATGCTTATATGTTTTTGTGCGTTCACGATTTTCTTCGAATTCGTTAAATCAATTTCTTTGATTCGTTTTGATCGAAATTATCCAAATTTTCCATCGTTCCATCGTAAACTGTTGTTACGAGGAAAAAGGGGGAAGATAGAATTCCTAGGTGGTTCGTAATAACGAGTTCTAAAATAGGCCCTTCCCTTAGCCGACGAGCACAATCATCCAAAGAGATAGGAGACAAAGGACAAACGTAAAGTACTAAACACAATGGGGAACAAAGTGTTATTACCAGAATGCATGCGTTTGTAACGGATGCAATTTACCACTTACGATATGAACTTGAACGAAGATGCTTTCGATATGATTACGTAAGTATTTATACGTGCGAATATTTAAAATTATATCATATTCACGCGCACGGTGGTGGAACGATTGCGTAACGATTGTTCACTGAATCAGGAGAGATAATCTATTTATGAACAGGGGACAATAACGGTGCGCATTGTGAATAGAAATATCGAGTCGAAGAAGAAATTGGAAAACGAATAATTACTTACAAAGAGATCCGACACGTAATCGAAAACGACTTAAAAACGAGATATATCCTCCGTGAAAAAAATTCGCGGAAAATAATTGCTTAATACAGGAAAATTACAATAATTACTACTAGTATATATATATATATATAATGCGATTTTAAACGATTACTTACAGGCTAATATTCACAAAGGATCGTATACCGTACGTGCTGTTTGTTAAAGAATTATCCAAATAGAAAAAAGACCTATACAACAACTTTTATTAAATGAACACGATTCAACTTCTGTTATTCTCCGGAAATAAATATTATTCCGAATTTGCATTGGCATCACATTAAGACGTTATGATCTGCAATCACTCGAATAGAAGCTATTATCGTATCCACAGAAGCCTGGGATGGAGGTCTTATCTTTTCAAATCCTGTGATAAAGCTTAGATGATTAGCCTTTTGTAGTTATTCTAGGTCAGTTAAAAGCAATTGATCAGATATGACCTATCACACAAAACACGATATGAAACATGCATTTAAAGTTATTTCATTCATAACAATTTTTTTGATACTCGATTGAAAATATTTGATAACGCATCACTTGATCACAATCAAATCAAATCAAATCAAAAAAGAACATAGGAATAATTTTTTGCTAAGAACGTTTAAATATATAAAACTAAAATTATTTTAAAAATTTTTAGAAGACTAGATCCTGTGATCCTTTTCCCTTATACAAATTCGAATATTCGAAGCAATTTAGCACATCCAAATAAATATTATTGAATAATGTTCTCTCACGAATTGTAGTTTGAAATATAAGATAAAATGAATTTGCATCCATTTTATCCAAATGATTTGAAAGAAAAGTTTTCTTTCCTTTTTTCTAAAAACATCAATAAGGGGAAAAAATTTGAATAAGAAAACATGCGAAAAACTAACTATCTTATGATTTTTTTCAAACTCGAAATTTAGAAAAAAGGATGACGTGATGTTAGTGATCGTGTGATATCGTCACATTAAAATGAACATTTCAATTTATACATATGGATCGAACGACAACCAAAATTATATCATATCTCGGTCGTGCAATTTCTTGCCAAAGACTTTATGTTTCTTTGTTCAAACCAAGCCTATCTTCGTTTTTTATTCGACCATACTGCAGCACGAACGAATAAATGAACTGCACGTGTATTAAAGTAATACACATCCTAGAAGTCACGAACGCGACAAAAAAGGATATATAAATAGATGTTCTTTTGCCTATACGATTTGTGCTTGCATTATACTGCAACATGCTTGTTTACTGCACGAGTAACAGAATTTCATGTTCTTTCTGACTACTAGCTTTGTGAAGAAGAAATTCCTTGTGAATATTCTCTCTCCTCTTATCGATTTCGAGAAATCGTATAATCATTAATTGTATCCTTGTTGAAAAAGAATTTTGAATATATAAAAAATGATATGCAAATACGAGCACGTTCAAAGTAAAGAAAACAAGTCTCGTAATATATAAATATAATTCGATTTGTGTTACCCGTTAAGTTTCTCCCTTCCCCGTTCAGCCATTCTCTTTCTAGTTGCAACTTCGATCGTTAAGTTTCATCTCACTTGAAAAGAGGACGAATTTGAACAAAAGTGGGAACCGCAGTAGTCGCCCATAAATTTATCTATGTCCTGTCTTTCTCTTTCATTCTCTCTGTTGCTTCCTTGTTCTTGCAACGATTAATCGACTTGATCAAGCTATCAAAATCAAATTGATACAACGCCCCTCTGTTTCCAATGATTTCGTGCCAACATTCAATTATACAATTCTTTTCTATCATATGACAACTTTGGATTCGAACAACGTTATATCACAAGCAAATCGAGGAAACTTTCGTAACATCATATGTAATGTATACGTATACACAGTATGTATGTAGTTTTTAACGAAGTTATGCGTGTGTTGGACCTTCTCGTGCGTGTTTCATCGTAAAATCGATTCTCATTATGCGCTATCGATGCGTGTCCAATCGTCGACGGTCAGGGCTCGTCGTTGGTATTGATATTTCTTTGATTCTCGTGTTTCTCGCGTTTCTTATATTTGATCATCGAATTTCAATACCGTTAAGATATGATGCCATAAAGTATCTCGTATGCTCGATCTCGAAAAGAAGTTTTAATCGATCTAAAAAAGAAAAAAAAAAAAAAAGAAGAAAATTAACAAATATATCGTCTTTCAGCGATAATACTTTCGCTGTCATTTACTACTGCTGCTGTTGCTGCTGTTCCATAATATTCATTATCTTGTTCTTTTATTCTCTTCCATTTATTCATTTATTTTTTTTTCTTCTTCTTTTTCCATGATTTGTTTCTTTGAATAGTTTTCTCATGATTCGTTTTACTACTTCTTCTCTCTCTCTCTCTCTCTATATATATATATATCATTTAATGAAATTCATTTCACGTTCTACACGCGCTATTTCCTTTGGCCATCTCGCGCGTGTGCATCGTTCATTTTTCTCTTTCCTCTTGCACGAATACAGGATTGTCCACACGTTTACATTCCATACTAAAAGTGCAGCTCTATATAAAAGATAACGTTGCGCACAGCAACTTAAGGCGATATAATTATATATGAATACTCTTACAATGTATCTATGTACGAACGCCAGTGGTCCTCTATTAAAAACGTTCCAAAAATGAATTCCTATTTTACTCGTACTCCGTCGATCGTATTTTCACAAATATTCTCTCTCTCTCTCTCTCTCTCTTGCTCGCTCGCTCGCTCGCTCACTCGCTCGCTCTCATTCTCGCTTTCACTCTTACTCTCGCTTCTTCTTTTTTCTGTATTACTTATGTAAAGTACAATAATTCAACAACGAGCATCTATAGCCAGTATATAAC